TTAACCACTCTTTTTCTTCCCCAATTATGACTAATTTCAACCTTATAATTTCTGCTTACCCTGCATACGTACTACTATATAATATTTAACCCTTAAACTGTCCAAACGTAGATCTACTTTCGCTCGTGTAGCATTCCGAACGTAGATCTACGTTCGATTTTACTTGTCTCCAGCTGACATAAATAGACATACAAAATGGGATATATATATATGCAACAAAATAATGTAGTCTTGAAAGTCTAATCTGTCTGTACTGAAATTCTTTTACAGTTTTATTGAACAATAACTTCAATATTTACCCAGTCAGTTGCTATGTAGAGGAGCCTAGAATGTGTGTAAACCACACCAATTGCTGGCATAAATTCTTTTATTGGCTTTCTCACAGTAATCTAGGAAGTGTCTTGCAATGGCCATCTTGTTTCTCACTTCAGGAGGAGAACTGTGTACATGCAGAAAAAAACATATGCAAACCTTAAACTCAATTTAGTATCACTATCTTTTGGAATTAACTTTGCAAAATATAATTATACTGTACTTAAGTCAGAGGCTGACAAGCATTTAACACTGAACTGGCCTGCTCTACTTTTGTCATGTGCATACCAAACAATAAATTTTAAGAAATCAATGTTACTCATTGAGTTCCATGAAAAAATTTACTAACATAAAAATCATTTCTTTGCAAAGTCATAACATATTTGTGATCAATGTGTGGTTAATGTTATTACACTGTAGCACCATATAGTACAGGCAGGCCCCACTTTACAGCACTTTGCTTTATGACATTTCATAAATGCAGCAGTTTTCAATTATACTAATTCTTTATTTATTCAGATTTCATACAATAAATATATTTACCATTCATTAAAAGCTAAGGACAAAAAGTATTTTAAGGTAAGTATTGTGTGTACTGTACAGCCTCTCCTCACTTAACAACAGAGTTCCGTTACTGAGACCACGTCGTTAAACAAATTCGTCACTAAGTGAGGATCATACTATAATAGTAGTGAGTTTGTGTCAACCATCTTTGATATTGTTTTAATGTCACCTTTGTGCCATTTATAACATATCTGGTATATTTTTAACTGTTTATACAATAGTGTACTGTTACTGAAATAAAAGAATAAGAGGAAATCAGCTCTAATATACATTATTTAGGTATCCACACTGGTCAGATAGCCCATCATAAGTCCGAGGCATTAGTAAATGAGTATGTTGCTAAGTGAGGAGAGAATGTATATGCTTTTTTTTAGACCTAGCTGTATTGTTCACTTAATATATGATATTGTAAACATGTTATCAGGCTTTTATATGCATTTGAAAGTGAAAAACGGCTATGTTTCATTTTTCATCAAATTTGTTTTTACATCATTACCCCGGAAGCTAACCTGCTAAGTGGAGCCCACCATTATATGGAAGTGGGTTGTTTTCATTATATACTGTATAGTTAGAATAACAGTTATTACATTAAGATATAAAAGTTTTACAGAATAACAAATGCAAAATAGCCAAGCAAGCTGTATGTATTGAGAAATGTATAATATCATTCATGGGAATGTGTAAGGCATGACATAATTGTTTTTTTGATTACTGTAGAAAATGCATTTTGTGGGTGTAAACATAGTTTCCATAAGTCCCAAAATTAAAAAAAAATTAAATGAGGTGGCCCCCCTATCAAACCATAATGGTTTCCATTAATAATTTAAAAAAGCAAGAGTGCACGTATTTTTGTTCTTTTATTTTTTGTATAAAACATTTTTATAATTCTCAGAACACACGGGACATTATTAAATTTGGGGAACATATTTTATACAATTTCATTTTTTTTTTTCCAAATAATAGAGACACCAGTGCCAGCAAAAGCCCCTGTCATAATTACTGCAATATAGACGGGAAAGGGAGGAGGTTTACTTTTTTTTTTTATTTATTATCACCCCGGGCCGATTCCCACCAAAGGCGGGGGTGGCCCAAAAAAAAGAAAAACTTTCACCATCTTACTCCATCATGTCTTCCCAAGGGCCAATGTTTTTAAACTGCAATTTTAACCCCCCCTCCTTCAGATGCAGGCACGTATTCCCATTCCAGGACCAAGTCGGCCCCCGGGTTTCCCCTAATCCTTCATAAAGTTACTTTGCTCACACCCAAAGCAGTCAAGTTTTAAAAAAAAACCATTTGTCTCCATTCACTCCTATAAAACACGCTCATGCATCCCTGCTGGAAGTCCAACCCCTCGCACCAAAACCTATTTACCCCCTCCCCCAACCCTTCTAGGGACCCCCACCCCCCCCTTTTTCCATACAGACTGATACACTCTTGAAGTCATTCTGTTTTGCCCCTTCTCTCTACTTCCCAACCACCTCAACAACCCTTCCTCAGCCCTTGGACAACATTTTTGGTAAACCCCACCTCCCCCTAATTCCAAAATACGAATTCTCTGCATTATTTTCACACACCATTGCCCTCAAATGAATCTCCACTTTCCCCCACCTTCTCCTCGCTGCAACTTCATCACCCACGTTCCACCCCTATAAAAGCGTTTGGGAAAAATATACTCTATCTTTCCCCCCTTTGCCTCCAAGGGCAAAGTTTTTTGTCTCCACAGACCCTAAGTGCACACCCCACTCTTTTTCCCTCTCAATTTTATGATTCACCTATCTTTCATGACCACCGCTGACACGTCCCCTCCCAAAAAATTTTGAATAGTTCACCCCCCCATACTCTCTCCCTCCAATTAATTCAACTTTCATCACCTAATCTTTTTGTTATCCTCATAACCTTATGGGGTTTTGAGGATAACAAAAGATTTGGGATGAAAAATTGAAAATCAGATTGGGGGAGGAGTATGGAGGAGGTGAACGTTTTAGATATTTGGGGAGTGGACGTTCACGGAAGGGGCTATGAAATGGGTGAATAAGAGGTTTTCTTGTATAATTACTTTTATAATATAAATTTATTTTTAAAATCGAAGAATTGTTAAAAGGTTTAAAATTAAAAAAATTAAAAAAATTTGGAAAATCAAAAAAATTTCATGATGAATCAATGATTCTGACTTTTTTGTGTTATCCCAGGAAAGTACGGGTATTTGTTTTTTTTTCAACAAACGGTTTATATCCCATAAGAAGGGGTGTTAAAAAAAAATGAGTTTCTCTTTTTAAAATTTATAATATTCAGGAGAAGGGTTTACTACCCCCTTGCCAGGGCATTTTATTGCCTTTATGAAAAGCAGATTTATGCGGGAAAAATTTTTGTTCCACCTTCCAGGGAGATAGAGGAAATAAAAAAAACTATAAAAAAAACAATAAAACCAGAGGGTTGTGTATTATATGCCTGTCATGTATGTGTAGTTGACCAAGTGTAAATAGAAATAGCAAGATCACCTGAAAAACCCTTTATGTTATGAGACAGAAAAAAGACACCAGAAACCTACCATCATTAAAAAAAATTAAGGTTTCCCCTTTTACACTTTCTTGGCAGACCGGTAGCACCCCATAGGTGGGTTTCGTTACCAACCCACTTTTCCACAGGACATAGTACCCCCTGGGGGGTTCTTCTACCCAACCCAAACCAAGGGCATAGTACCCCTGGAGGTGGTTTGTCTCCAACCTACTACCACAGGGCGTAGTACCCCCCTGGGGGGTTGGTGTCTACCAACCTATACCACAGGAATTTTACCCCTGTAGGTGGTTGCGTCTACAACCCACTAACCCAGGACAGTAGTACCTCCTGGTGGTTGGTGTCTACCAACCTATAACCACAGGCAGTGTTCCCCCCCTGGGTGGGTTTTGTTACCCAAACCCACTACCCCCGGACAGTTTAACCCCCCTGGGGGTTGGTGTTACCAACCTCACCACAGGGCAGTATACCTCCCTGGGTGGTTGGTGTCTACCAACTACTACCCCAAAGGCAGTAGTACCTCCCTGGGGGTTGGTGTCTACCAACCCACTGGATTTACCTGGAGAGATTCCGGGGGGCAACGCCCCGGGCCCCTCTGAGACAGGCCTCCTGGGGGATCAGAGCCTGATCAACCAGGCTGTTGCTGCTGGTGACCAAAACCAAATGAGCCACACCCCGGGTGATCCGGAACTGACTTTAGGTGCTTTCCAGTGCCATTGAAAATGCCAGGGGTTGTTTTGGGAATCCCCCCTTTTGTGTGCTGGGAGGCAGTTGAACAGTCTCGGGCCCCCGACACTTATTGTATGGTTTTCTTAACGGGGCTAGTGACACCCCTGCTTTTCATTGGGGGATGGTGCATCGTCTGCCAAGTCTTTTGCTTTCGTAGTGGGTGATTTTCGTGTGCAAGTTCGGTACTAGTCCCTCTAGGATTTTCCAGGTGAAATATAATCATGTATCTCTCCCTCCTGCGTTCCGGGGAATACAGGTTTAGGAACCTCAAGCGCTCCCAATAATTGAGGTGTTTTATCTCCGTTATGCGCGCCGTGAAAGTTCTCTGTACATTTCTAGGTCGGCAATTTCACCTGCCTTGAAAGGTGCTGTTAGTGGGCAGCAATATTCCAGCCTAGATAGAACAAGTGCCCTGAAGAGTGTCATCATGGGCTTGGCCCCCCTATTTTGAAGGTTCTCATTATCCATCCTGTCATTTTTCTAGTAGATGCGATTGATACAATGTTATGGTCCTTGAAGGTGAGATCCTCCGACATGATCACTCCCAGGACTTTTTACGTTGGTGTTTCGCTCTTTTTTTGTGGCCAGAATTTGTTTTTTACTCTGATGAAGATTTATTTTCCTCATGTTTACCATATCTTATAATTGAAATTTTCATCGTTGAACTTCATATTGTTTTCTGCAGCCACTGAAGATTTGGTTGATGTCTGCCTGGAGCTTTGCAGTGTCTGCAATGGAAGACACTGTCATGCAGATTCGGGTGTCATCTGCAAAGGAAGACACGGTGCTGTGGCTGACATCCTTGTTATGTCGGATTTAAGGATGAGGAACAAGATGGGGGACGAGTACTGTGCCTTGTGGAACAGAGCTTTTCACCGTAGCTGCCTCGACTTTTTCTCTGTTGACGACTACTTTTGTGTTTCTGTTAGTGAGGAAATTATGATCCATCGACCGACTTTTCCTGTTATTCCTTTAGCACGCATTTTGTGCGCTATTACGCCATGGTCACACTTGTCGAAGGCTTTTGCAAAGTCTGTATATATTACATCTGCATTCTTTTTGTCTTCTAGTGCATTTAGGACCTTGTCGTAGTGGTCCAATAGTTGAGACAGACAGGAGCGACCTGTTCTAAACCCATGTTGCCCTGGGTTGTGTAACCACAGGACATCCATTAATCCAGTGTAACCTTGGTAGTTGAACTTACCTAACATTCCAGAAGGCTGTTTGAGTGCCAAACTGTTTTAGTACCAAATGAATTTTTCCCAACCAAATTTCTTTTTTGTTGGCTGTTATCACTAATTTTAGACACCATAGTGATTT